AGGAACAGCTAAGATACTGCGCAGGACCCTCAAGCTCCTAGGTCTCTGGTAGAGGACCAGAGCTAGAAGGACTGACTGCCCGCAGGGGCGAGCTGGGAATTTTTTATACATATATATATTTACATATACATTACATATACATATATATATATTTTTTATATATATTTATGTGTATATATATTTATATATATATATATGTACATACACATGTGTTACACCACTAGTATGTACTCTGCTTGCCTGGCTCGACTCGGTTTATATGATTTTTCTTTGGGTGCTGTCTCGTACCAGGTACGTTTTTTAATACCTACTCAGCCAAAGCAATTCAGCAATTCAGTCAATCTGAAAATGTAACGTCAACATATTGCATTCCAGCGATTGGCTAGTCAGTTTTTTCACTCGATGACTCATGAGAGCATGTCATTCACAAAAATCTAATCCTCAAAGCCTGTCTCCAAATCTGACAAAAAGCTATAGACCACACAGCAGGTCTACCATCGCCTCAAGTTTCTCCAGTGTGATGTTGTGCTTTTGTTGTATGCAAAATGGGACTTTTAGTAGCATTGCTATAATGACCTTGCGCACATAGGCAGTACTTGGTTGTAATGAAAAACAATTTAACTGAGTTGGGTCAAGCCGAGAAGGTTGTAATGGAAAAGATACATTAGCTCATGTACTCTTAAAGCACAAACAGTAGATAGTAGCAGCATGCTCCCTTTCGGTTATGCAAATGGTCAGGTTCTTGTTGAGCTGGGCAACACATAATTGTGACTAACATGAGAATTTATTTGTTCCTAGGGGTGGAGGACAGTAGGAGCCTGGGATTTCAGGCACCGATAGAGGATGAAGAGTATGAATATTTAGAGCAGGAGGAAGGACACACGACAGAGCTGGATTATGTAACAACATCAAGGTTATACAAAAAGTGCATAAATGTCTACTATGTGGACAAAAGTATATGTGTTATTTTTTTGTATCCCAGCTCCCGTTTTTCTGTGTCTTCCTTAGGTTCTTGACTCAAACAATTCAGTCTAAGAGGAGAAAAAAACATGGCAAACGTAGAATTAGCAAATCACAAAATTGCATAGATCTCAAAATCCGCATCTTGGAAAACCCAAACATTGAAGTGCTTTCAAATACTGGTAAGTCTAAAGCAAACGTGATGTGAAATTTAAATGTTAAAAACAGAATGAAAACACCTGAGTACACATGAAACTCTGGAGCAGATGTGGAAGATTTCACTGTGATTGATTCAGTGTTCCTCTGTGTTCTAGTGTTTCGGATGTACCGGCTTCACAAGCTGAAGGTTCGTCGTGGTTTGAAGGAAGCTGACTTCCTGAAACTACTCAGGTCTACCTTCCCTCAGCTGGCTGGAGATGAACCTTTTGACCTTTTCTTATATTGCAACCTCAAGAAACTGAAACCTCTGCAAGTAGACTCTGTGACACCAGAGGAAATCCTCAGAGTTTCTCGGGGATCTACCCTCTACATACGACTGCAGGTACTGTGCTGAGAAGATTTAACTGATCTCAGCAGCGCTACCAAAGATTACAACACATTGACAACTTGATTTGAGAAAAAAAAATTCCGACCTTCTGTAAAACAGAAAGAAGATGCTGATGAAGATCTTCCATCCACTGAGACAGACACCCATATAAATCTCAGAATCCGCATCCTGGAAAAGCGAAAGATTAATGTTTTGTCAAACCAAGGTAAGTCTAAAGCAAACATGATGTGAAATTTAGATGTTTCTGCTATAAAAATACACCACATGTAAGCCGTATATCACCTTGTTACCTACTAGGGAAGTTCTGAAGTGCTTTTCACCCTTTTACCTGCTCGGAGATCGGTCTATTAAACACAGGTGAAGCTGATGGTCTCCACCACACCTCTATA